ACCACCCACCGCCAACTCTTGGGCTACTCTTTTACCAACGAATAGTGGGATTGACCGTCACATTATAACGCCCCCACGGCTGAAAGGGCGAGCAGGTTTGGTGGGATGGGGATTCGAACCAGCGACCCTCAGATTGCGAGTCGAGTGCCCTAACCACCTGGCCATGCCGGGCCGCCTTTAGAGACAGAGAAAAATGAATGGCTTTTAAAACCTAATTATCAAAATGACTACTTTCGTACTTGCTGTTATATTAAAGTTTTTCTTCATTACCCACTCAAGCCGTCTCCAGCCATTATTAGTCTCAAAGTGGGTTCCTCGTCATTGAATTTACTTTCGTACCTGTTCAGAATAATAACATGCCAGAAATTATGAATATAATATAAAGTGATTTGACTTTTTTTTAGATAGATTATCGCTTGACAAGACTAAATATTTCTACTTTTATCAGGCCAGTGTGCCTAAAACAATAGTGCGAACAAAGACTGAATTAATTACTTAAAACTGAGAAGTTTTCTCAAATCATGGTGCAATGGTCCTTGTTGAAAATTTGATATATTGAATCTTAATTTTTCAGTTAATCTAATAACTTCTTTTACATTGATCTAATCGGCTAGAGATTTTGAGGAAAAGTCCGAAACACCTAAAATATCCACACGTAATGTCTTACTAACGTAAACATGAAAATTATTTTACAGCTTAACATGTCCTTCAGTGGGTCAGCGGGAGTTACAAAGCTAAAATCTTAGGTGTGATTCCACGCGGTGGACAGAGTTCAGATATCCGTTTGTGTTTTGAACTAAAAAAAAGAACACACACAGTTTAACATACGTTTATATAAAAAAAGCCAAAATCCAGAACAACAATGAACTATCCATTGGTAATGGTTCACTAACTTAAAAGTTTAAAATTATTTTACAGTTTACTATACATTTGAACTACAGAACAAATATGTTTGATAATTTTATAGATTTTCGTAGTTGACTGCATATGGGTTAACTGAAGTATATTGCTCTTAAATGTGTAATACTAATAATTTTGTCACAATTTGATATATTTATTACCCAAATCAACTGCTTATATACTAACTAACGTTGGTTTTATAACTAAGCTGTGAAATGTTCTGGAGTTATATTGATCGCAAATGTAAAGGACTATAATGATATACTATTAATTAACTACTATGGGTATATTGTTTTCTTCTTTCTTACTGGTAACATTAGTTTAAAAATAAGGAATCACTTCTATTACATAGTTGTTCAAGACTTCCAGTGTTATCGTCAGTGGCTTTACTTGTTTCCCGCCAATTCCGCTGATGAGAAAAAACGCTCCAATTTCTTGTAGCTCAGATCAATGCGACCATATTTGGTTGCTACGTTCGACGTGTAGTGAAGCTTACTCAGACACAGCATGAGTCTTGGTGAGCAAAGAAGCAAGTGTCCAAAACTCCGTATTTCAACAGTTCCAGAACCGATAAAACTTAAATGGCAAAAACTGTATTAATAAGATGGCAAACTGTATGCCAACATATTCCTAATCACTCTCCATAATTTTGAATTTCAGAAGGATATGACCAATTTACGTATTATAACTCTTTAATTTGTTTCTTTGTCGAAAAAGGGGAATTTATGAGCATCTTTTACTTCTGACAAAATCACGATGTCTTAGTAAATGCAATAAAGTTTATTTTAAAATCCATGCTAATCATGAGTCCTGCTCAGAAAGGAAGAACAGGTAGACTGCCAGCTGTTGTGCTCATAATTGTTTTAATGTTTGTAGAAGAAGGTAAGTGACGTTGATTATTATTTTCTTTTAACTCTTTATTTATACGGTTGTAAAATATGCTTCGATTGGGTAACGGTTAACAGTTCTATACAGAATAATTAGAATGTTATCAGGTAAGATGCAATGAAGAAAGACTAGTATAATATTTTACGATAAAGCTGTCTATCTGTCACTACCACCTGCTGAAAAATAAATATCTTAACTCACATAATTTCTATTATTGCGTTTTGCGTCAGTTAAAAAGCTCACCAAAATGTCACTTTTGGAGATAAAGTTACATTTCATACAACAGAGATTGAAAATTTTAACCTGTATCTACAGCATATGTTGTGTATATATTTTGCGAGCAGTAATTCTTAGCTTTATTACATTTCAGTGCTGTTGTTATTGTGTTTTTAGGAGAGAAACGGGTAAGAACTGTAGGCTCTATATTCGAAGCATGGTTTTTGGGTTAAAATGTGTATCTGTGCTCTATTTTTAACTGAATTTATAGTTACTCCAATCAAATATAGCTATAATGTGGCAGGATTAAGTGCATCTCTAAAACATAACAGATTTTAAGTATATTGTGGTACAAGGACAAAGTGCATCTCAAAAACACAATAAAATATAGCTATAATGTGGCAGGATAAAGTGCATCTCTAAAACACAACAAAATATAAGTATAATGTGGTACAATAACAAAGTGCATCTCCATAACACAACAAAATATAACTATAGTGTGGCAGGATAATGTGTATCTCTAAAACACCACAAAATATAAGTATAATGTGGTACAAGTGCATCTCGAAAACGTAACAAAATAAAAAAAAACATTATGATGAACATATAAAAGCTTTCGCACAAATATAATTGTTTTAAAGATGCACTTTGTCCTTGTACCACACTATACTTATATTTTATTGCGTTTTAAAGATACGTTTTGTCCTTGTACCACACTACATTTATATTTTGTTATGTTTTAGAGATACACTTTGTCCATGTACAACATTATAGTTATATTTTGTTGTGTTTTAGAGATGCATTTTGTCCTTGTACTACATACTAGCTATATTTTGTTTTCGGTTAAATTTTGTACTTTGTTATATAAGCTTATGTATTGTACTTTGTACCTTTATTGAGCTGCTCCGTTTTACTTGTTAATGGTACTGTTGTATCTTAAGTCTCTCAAGAATTACGTTTATTTTAAAGCTGTATTGGAGGACTGTAAATTGTATGTCTAACTAATGGTACACTATATTTACAGGATTAAACTTAATACTTTGCATTTGTGTTACATCCTAATGACGTTTGTCAGTCGTTCATTGTACTTGTGCTTAAATTACCGTCTTCGCCTTGTGCTTGTGGTGTACTGACTTTCTGAATGATATTTGGAATTTTTATTGCATTAGTACGTATTTTCAGGTTGTACTTTGTACTTGATGCTACTGATGAGTTTGTAGGTTATACTTTTGTATGTGTTATATATTTTTATGAGTATTTGGTTTGCACTATGAACCTGCTTCGTATTGTATATTTGTAATGATGTACTTTTTTAGAGATTCTGTCAGTAGCACTTGGTACTTGTGATTCACATTTCTGATACTTTACGATCATAATGTGCTTCTATAGGGATGTTTGGTTGGACTTTATATTGCTTATGTATATATGTGATCTGCTAGGCACACTTTGAATTTACGATGTTGTTTATAGGGTTAGTGGTTATCACATTTTGCTTTTGCTGTTTTTTCATAGATATTTTGAATTATGAATAATAAAAATGAACTAATCAGCAAACTAGAAAGTTACATAATACATGATGAACGAAGTCCTATGTAACTCTCCCCTCTAAATATCATAAATAAGAATCTTACAGGCCAAACAGTGCTAGGCTAACTGAATCCTAGACACAAACGTAGCTCTATTTTAAAAGGGTTTTATATGAAAAAATAGGATTATGTCTGTGTGTGTATGACTGCTAAATGGAACTGTATTGTAAACACAGACTAATAGTGCGATCATACATAAGTGAAGCTAGTGAAAATATTACCCCATGAATCGGACATGGCACGAAAAGGATATGTTAATTAAAACTGCGGACAATGGACAAAATGTAACATACTCTGAGTAGTGCAGCAACAACGTAACGAGGGTTATTACCTAGGATTCATTAAAAGTGCAAACAAAATATCAATTCCCGAGAGGGAGGAAGAGGTCTACGCTGAACCTGACCCTCCTTGGTCCAAAACATGGACCGAATCCCGATGAAGATAACTATTTCAAGCCATACTGGTCATTTAAATTATTAAATAAAATCAGCTAAATAGTTGAGTGATGACACTATTATAATAAAATGAAATATAATGAATATTGTAATAACTCATTTCGTATGGTACTTATTACATAGACTAACATGTGTACTTAATCAATATTTTATCTATATAGTGTCTCTTCAAAATACCTCATTATAATTATAAATACGCAGATTTTATTTTTACATTATTTCTCATGATTTTCAGCTGATTCTCAGTGTTTATATAATGACCAGTTCACTGTATCTGTTATTTATTCACGAAGAAAGGTGATTTTGAAATAATTCATTGTATAACTTCGTTTGTTTTACGTTTTAATTTTGATATAACCCTATTTTCACGAAAGCAAAATCACGTGCTTGCTTCTTAAAATTTGTGTCCACAACAAAACTGTATTAGAGAAATATTCTTATGTTGGTTATAATTAGTACTGTTAGCACACTAACACACTTGCATTTATGTAAGAAGTATGAATGTAAGTGTCTTATATTAAACCAACTAATTATTTTAATATTCTATCAACTCTGTATTTGTATAAGTGTGTAGTCAGGCTTAAACTTTTTATTTATGTTTTTTTTTAAGAAAACGTAGTTCAGCATGACCGAACTTCTTTAATCATTGTTAATATGTAAACAAAACCGTTCTGATTCTAAATAAATTAGGTTTATAAGCTTCCAACTGAGGGTAATTAAAGTATAAAGGTTTATAAAATATAGCTAGCATCAAAAAATCATAATAAGCTTAATATTCCATATTGGCACGACTTTTTTTACACCATCTATTCCTGTTTATTTCGATGGGATCGTATTAATGGAATTATTTATGAAACTATACAGATTAAATATATATGATCTTTAAGAACTGCATTTTTGCCAATTACATTTTTTTTCTTATGACCAATAATAATCTCCAAGCAGTTTTTCTTGGGGAAAACCAAACTGACACTGAAAGTTATGTCCTCCCATTACTTGCGTTTCTGAAGCAAAAACAAATATATCTTATCAGCGTTGTACTTAACACTTAAAGTGTTCAAGCTCTAGTCTGGTTAATTAGTGGTTAGTATATTGCAAGAGATCATTACTTAAGAATATAGTAGGTACAGTCTTTCTCATAACGACAAGATAAGCTACACACACGCTGAAGAAGAAAAAGGAGTTCTATGAGATCTACTGAGGCTATCAAATATAAGTTGTTACTAACCGTTAGGGTTTAAACTTTAAAAGTAGTAAATCAGAAGTTACTGGACGATCCAAGTTCAGGTGTTCAAAAGCGAAAACAAACAGCACTACTCAGAAAATAAGCCGATTTTGATTTACAAGTGGACGGAACGAACTACTTTAAGCTCATTAGGATCAGTAAGTAATTTCTTAATCTCGAGATGCATAGATTATGTCTTTGAACTTTGAGCCCAGAGAAAACCTTTTGAAACCAGTTTAGGAGGCATTCCTTGAGACTTGAAAGTAACGATTTGAGCCTAATAAACAAACCTTTAAACCAAAAGGCTTTGAACCTAGAAGATAGGTCCTTCATCAAAAAAGGGGGACAACTCTATGAGAAAGATCTAACCCTTTTAACCCAGGAGATAAATCCCTTTTGAGAGAATAAGATAATTCTTTGATCCCATGAGAATTTGATGCCCCGTCTGAAGAAAGAAACAACTCTTTGAACGCAGAAGACAGTCCTCTGAGCCAAGAAACAATTCTTAGTAACAATTTGTATAAGACTTCACGATAATGTCTTTAGAAATCCCTTAGGACCATATTTACATGGGGTGGTAAGTAGCTTTTCAACAAATATATACCATAGTTATGACTAAGACGTTCAAGCTATATTTTGAAGTAACAGTATACCAATCACTTATTAATGAAATCAGAGCTTGAACATGCATACCAAGTGCAATTTTGATAAAACTAGTTTGTATTGTTTTAAAAACATAGTTAATAGGTACATAAAATCCTGACAAGAAAATTCTGCATTCAAAGGGTTGTCTTTAGGATTAACTGGTTGTTTTTGATCTCAAAGAATAATTTCTTGGCCCCAAAGGGTTATCTGCTGAGCTTATTGAATTAGCTGGGCTCAAAAGATAGCAACTGGGTTCAAAGAGTTATTCCTTTTGCTCAAGGAGTTATCTTCAAGACATCAAGGGTTCATTTCAATCTCAAATGCATGGTTTTATCTGTATCCTGGATTAAAAGATTTACTGGTCGAAAAGAGATATCTCTTGATTTCAGGAGAATTATCCCTAGGATTCAAAGAACGTTTTATGGACTCAAAGTTTCTTTGAAATTTATACGAATAGTTATATATAAAAAAAATATTCTGAACTCAAAGCACTGTCTCCCAGTATTCTATGGAGGAGGGGGGTATTTTCTGATCTTAAAGGGTCACTTCTTGGTCCCAAAGAATTACCTGGTCTTAAAGGATTGTCTGAGAGGGATTAGCCACATACAGTTTCTGTCTAATGTGTGTGTTTTGGTCTCAAAAGATGTTTCCTGATTTAATTGGTCACAAAAAGACTAGTCATGTTTTCTCCGATCAAGGACATACTGCCTTATTTCAAATATTTATCTAGTCTAAAAAGGTTTTCCTAATTTGAAAATATTAACTCTTCTTAAATAATTTCTTTATTTAAATATTTTAGCTATATTTCCTGATTTCGAAGGATTATCTCATGAATTCAGATGGTTGCATCCTGAGTTCAAATGGTTA